TCTCTCTCTCTCTCTCTCTCTCTCTCTCTCTCTCTCTCTCTCTCTCTCTCTCTCACACACACACACACACACACACACACACACACACTCTGTGTGTGTCTGCATATATAGAAGGAGAGACAGGAAAGGAAGAATACTGCTGGAACAATATTGTGAGCGCGGCGTACCGTGTGGAACAGAGTGCGATGCTTGTTCCGAGGAGTTTTTATAAAAAGCTGATAATGTGTAGCGCATGTCAATGGATCAATTCAATCAATACTCAACGACTGCGGTGATTGTGAAGAAACAGAGGGCAAAAAGGAAAACAAAAAATAGAAAAAAACAAAAAAGGAAAACAAAAAATAGAAAAAACAGGAGCAAAAAAAAACAACTGCCCGTTGTTCATCAATCAATTCTAATCAATCCGTTGACGGATTTCAATCAATCCATTAGCGGATTTAAATTAGCAAATCCATTCGGGGATTCCTCTTCTTTTTTTTTTTTTCAATTTTAATCAATCAGTTCACGGATTTCAATCAATCCATTAGCGGATTTTAATGAATCCATTTGCGGATGCTAATCAAAAATCCATTCACCGATTTTACTATTATCATTTCAATCAAATCCATTCACCATCTTGATTTTCGTCTCGGTGAGGAAGCAACAGATGGCTGAGGGGTCTGACGAACATCGTCACTTGGTTGAAATCATTCAGATGCGATCATCATCAATTCTGCACCCGATCCCGACGCAGAGCTGATGAACCTTTCGCGTTGACGTCAACAACGCCGGCAGGAGATGTGCGACCGGTCTGGACACACCCCCACCAGTGGAATGGAGATATGAAATTGAAATTCCCACAAAAAAAAAAAAAAAGCAATAGAGTGACGGAAGGACCATAGAGCAGCACACCGAAAAGAAAAGAAAAAAAAAATGAAAAGAAAAGAGGAAGAAAAGGTACCTGATAGAGAAGAAGCGCTCAAAGGATGTAGTAAATATCACAAAATATATCGTCACAGAGTTATCAAAGCGCAAAAGCGACAAAAAAAAAAAAAAGATATCAATTCATTTTTTATCTTCTTACTTACAACTCCCCCTGTAAATATCACACAATATATCACCAATCTTTTTTCTTTTTTTTTTTTTTAACATATAGAATGATCTAGGTCGGGACTTGGGGTGAGGGCCGGCGTGCCTTCGTGAAGAGAAGATAGTGGCCCCAAATCCGACTTGGACCTCTCTGTGCCCTATCCCTCTCGCCAGCTATTCCTCCCTCACCCTTCCAATTGTCTTGCTATTCTCCCCTCACAATCCCCCTCTCTCTCTCTCTCTCTCTCTCTCTCTCTCTCTCTCTCTCTCTCTCTCTCTCTCTCTCTCTCTCTCTCTCTCTCTCTCTTCCCTACCTACTCGCCTTTTCCGTTCGTTCCTTCTCAGTTACCTCCCTTCCGCCTGTCCCAATGTCATCTTAAAACTTGTGGCCTCCATTTCCCGTGCGGATCTTTGGCCTCATCCTCTTTCCCTATCAATCCGCTCTTCCCATCCTCTTCTCTCCTTCTCCTGTGTCAGTCACCTCTCTCTTCCCGTCTTTCTCTCCTACGCACTCGCCTCTTTCCCTTTCTTCCTTCTCGATTGCCTCCCTCCCATGCTCTTCTCTCCTTTA